AATGAAAATTAAATTTCAAATCTAATTGTTTCATATTATTCTAAGTAATTTGCCTAATAAAAATCAATTGTCTAAGAACAATTAATTATTTAAAATTAGTTCATATAAATTAATTGTTGAAAGTAGATTATGATACCATTCTCATGCACAACCAAACACAGATATCTTTCATTCCCAGACATATGATTCTCAAGCTTGTTATTCCCAGGCATCTTATTCTTAGGTAATCTTTTTAAAACCTTGAACAAAACGGCCCCTTAGTGTTGTATGTGGATGATATCCTACTCATTGGGAATGATATAGGATATCTAACTAACATAAAGAAGTGGCTAGCTACCGAGTTCCAAATGAAGGATTTGGGAGAAGCTAAATATATTCTTAGCATCCAAATTCTAAGGGATCTCAAGAACAAAACGTTAGTCTTGTCTCAAGCAACTTATATCAATAAGATGCTTGTTCAATATTCAATGTAAAATTCCAAGAATGGCTTATTGCCTTTTAGGCATAGAATTCATTTGTCTAAGGAACAATGTCCTAAGACACCTCGAGAAGTTGAGAATATAAGACACATACCCTATGCTTCAGTAGTGGGCAGCCAGATGTACGCTATGTTGTGTACTAGGCCTGACATTTGCTATGCAGTAGGCATGGTCAGTAGGTATCAATCCAACTCAGAATATGATCATTATACTGATGTTAAAGGAACCCTCAAGTATCTTAGGAGAATGAGGGACTACAAACTCGTGTATGGCTATAAGGATTTGATCCTTACAGGATACATTGACCCTGACTTTCAAACAGATAAGGATTCTAGGAAATCCACGTCAGGGTCAGTATTCACTCTTAATGGAGGAGCAATAGTTTGGCGAAGCATTAAACAAGGATGCATTGCAGACTCCACCATGTTGGCTGAGTACATTGCAGCTTGTGAAGTAGCAAAAGAAGCGGTTTGACTTAGGAAGTTCTTAACCGATTTGGAAGTCGTTCCAAACATGAACTTGTCCATCACACTTTATTGTGATAATAGTGATGTCGTGTCAAATTATAAAGAACATCGAAGCCGTAAAAGGGACAACCATATCAAAAGGAAGTACCACCTTATACGGGAGATAGTGCAGAGGGGATGTGATCGTCACAAAGATCGCTTCAGAGCACAACATTGCTTATCCTTTTACGAAGGCGTTCACGGCTAAAGTGTTTAAGGGTCATCTAGAAAGTCTTGGTCTTTGAGCGTTGTACGATTAATCTAGGGCAAGTGGGAGAAATGTAATGGGTATAGTGTATGCCTAGTTTATTGTATTTGTCCGCTTGCTTTATTATCTTGTACACCCCACTAGAGTTTAGTTCAAGTGGGAGATTGTTGGGTGTTGCCCTAAACTCGTAGTAAATTTATATTCAATAAAGTTATGTTTTCATATTCAATCAAATTGTTGTTGAATTTATTGTCCAAATCCAATAAACTAACCATCCAAGGTTATTATCATGTAGTCGAAACAGTATATATACTGGATATATATTTGATATACCATCGATATACAAGTGGATCATGTTCCGGGAATAACCTTTAGGGTCTATAGTATATGGATAAGGTTGGGTACCTTATCCTAGCAACACTATGGATACGACTCACTTTGTAAATGTTGCAAACGGCTCGATCTAAGTCGTTTGTGTGGAGACATGCAATTGGAGGCATCATATATAATGAGTTTGTATAAGACCGGACCGCGAAATAGTCAATCTTTAGATGTAACATCGTTGACTAATAGATTGTTATTTCATAGGATGACTAGACAACTCACTCTTAATCCTGAGTGAGTTATGGACTCCTGCTCGTGAGGGCTCGTCATTTGATCTGTATGGGTGAGAGTTGCCCGAGTCGTCGACTCAACATTCCTACCATTTTAAGGATGAGACTAAGTGGGGAGTTTGGAACATAACTACACAAGATGAAATTCACTCCTTCTAGACTTTATGGGAGTAGATGAGAGTTCCCTTAACTGCTGACTTTGGGACTTGAACAAGGGGTCCCACCCTCTCACTGGCTCGAGAGGGACTTTCGGTTATTGGTCGGACTATAACCGGGTTGTTCATTAGAGGAGCAGTGGTATTTAAAGAGCAAGATGTAACTCAGGGGTAAAACGATAATTTGACCCAGCTACAATTACGAGCACTCATGAATGATTGACTTGTCGTTGATGGTCGTATATCTGTGGACACAAAAATATTCTGCAGTTAGAAGAGTGCAGTTACAGGTCTTTAGTGGAGTGACCAGCAATTAACGAATGTTTCTTAACTCGGTTAATGAGTTTGAACGATAAATCTCATATCGTTGGAGCTTCTGATCTATAGGTTTATTAGGTCCATTTTATAGCTCACAACGGGTAAAACGAGAATCAAGTTTCTTGGAATGATTTGAAATGTTCAAATCACTCAAGGGATTATATATATGTATGTTGATATATTATAATATATGGTTAATTCTAAATTAAAACTATATATTATGAGAGAAATTATTTGAATGAGATTCAAACAATAATTAATATGAATTGGGTTCATATTAAAACTATAGGTTATAACAAGATAAATGCATTTGAATATGATTCAAATAAAGTTGAATAATTAAGTGTTAATAATTCATTTAATTAATATATAGATTTAATTAATTAAATTAATAATTAATAAGATTAATAATTAATTAACTCCTTTGCATAATGTAGGGGAGTGCATAGTTCCTGTGATGTGGGGTAACTCTCCCTATGTCACCTTCCCGTTCATTGGACTCCGCAAAGGTTCTCTATTGTTCTTCAACCTACAGAAAGAAAAATACAGAGAAACTCTCTCAAGAATCTCTCTCCCTTTTCCAATCTCTTTCTTGGTTCCCACAAGCCGGATTCTCACTGGAGATATAGCAGGGAAGGCTCTCGTGGTGGTGTCGATTGGATTAACAGAGAACTTCAAAGGTAGATACCAATTCTTCCTTGTTTTGTTTATTGTGTTGTCAATTTGTTCCCTTAAATTCATGAACACGTTCCTCGTTTCCGCTACGGGATTAACGTCCTATCAACGGGACCACAGATGGTTATCACCGTACCCTATTCACGCGTATGGACACGTCACCACCATAGTTGTATAGGGGAGATGTCGAGGATTGCAACCTACAACCTGTAGGTGTAGGGGGACAAGCTTGTAGACAGAGGTGCCACCCAATGGCTGTTGCAGGCGTCTACTCTTCCATCAAAACCTCATACAACTTGACGCGCACCTACGCCCAAAATCGTCGTCCTTTTTGGTCGACCGCTTGCACCTATAAAAGGGAAGGACCCCTATCAACACCAAGTGAGTGAAAACCGTGTTACTTAAATCTTACGATCTACTCCTATGTTCTTTTACTCTGATTACTGACTTGATGGTTGGAGTGTATTAGACGGGACACTGCATCGATGTCAAGTTTTTTGGTTGCAGGCTCATTTGCTCCTCGACAAACACACTCATCTGAGGGACACGTACGTATACCTCTCCAAAATTCAGCGTCAACAGAAACAAATGACTTTTTTAATATAAAATAAATGTTAAAATTTTGCATTAATTAGGGCAATGTTGGGACTAAAAAATTAAATTAAAATCTCAGATTCTAGATTTGTAAAATTTGAAAGAAAAAATTTGAAATATCATCTCTAGATTTAGCCTCCCTTTAATTTATGATAACAATAACAATTGTTTTTCCTAATATTTTTATAATATAATTTAGGTTAAACAAAATATAATTTGAATTTTAGATAATTATCTTACAACAAATTTAAATATTGGGTACCAACATCAAAATAATTGAAATAATATGTTTAAAATTTGAAATATCATTTCTAGATTTAGCCTCCCTTTAATTTGTTATAACAATTGTTTTCCTAATATTTTTATAATATAATTTAGGTTAAAAAAATATAATTTGAATTTTAAATAATTATCTTACAACAAATTTAAATATTGAGTGCCAACAGTCAAAATAATTGAAATAATATGTTTACTTTAGTCATTAATGATTTTAATTTGAATTTACCGTACATTACAACTAGTTCAAAATTAAAATTTACCGAACACTAATTCACTTCTTATCACAGCTAATTTTTCTAAAAGCTAAGTTGCCTATAGTTATTTTAAAAGTCATAGCAATTCTAAACTAAGCATTACTGAAGAGAAGTGAAACTTTGTGGGATTGGAGAATGTGTTTCGAGCCATAGAAAGAGTAAAAAGAGAGGAAAGAGATAATTAACCAGAGAACAAAATAGAGAGGGATAAGATGATATAAATGAAACTCAAAATAAATGACAAATTAGGTATTAAAAAAGAAAATTTCTTCCACGTACATATTCTTATATATATTATAGATATAGATTAATACAAAATTGAAAACGACTTACCATGGAAATTGAAGTAATAAATTTGTAACCCTCAATAAAAAACAAGTTATATAATATTCCAACAATGACACGAGTTCTCAAACGACATTAACCTAAGCATAACTCTACATACATATTGATTAATACAAAACTATATAAAAAGAATGACAAATTAGGTATTAAAAAGTGTTTATTCCACATCCATATTCTTATATATATTGTATATATAGATTAATACAAAACTATATAAAAAAAAACATCCGGTACTCACAATTTTAACGACTTAAAAATCATCATTATGAAAATTGAAGGAATAAAATTTGTAACCTCAATAAGAAAAACAAGTTATATAATATTCCAACAATGACACGAGTTTCATATATATAAAGTTCGAAAGATGTTAACCTAGCCTAAGTATAATTCTACATACATATCTACCAAAGCGAACATAACTGGTCGTTAATTGATATATATCTCAAATCAAGAGATTATTAGTTGGATCTGTAACGTATGGTGAGAAGGGAAGGTCAGAATCTAAATTTAAAAAAATAATAAAATAATATAAAAAATCGAAGGACGCAAATAAATTGAGCGTTTTAGGTCAGGCGTGTACTTGTGCTCTTACTCCCATCAGTCACTCAGCAATTGCGGCTAGGGTTTTCCTCTTACTCCTGTTTTCCACCAGTTATCAATCTGTTCTTTTACAGATCCCTTGTTCTTGTTCTTTCGTTCATTGGATTCATGGAGTTCTTGTTAAGATAGGGGTGTGTGGTCGCCTTTCTCGGAGTGGAATTTCTTCTTCAGGTTTTTTTGGGTATTGGTTTTTGAGATAGTTTGGAAATGGCGACCGTTAATCCATTCGATTTATTGGGAGATGATGACGCCGAGGACCCTTCGCAGCTAATTGCGGCTAAGCAGGTGGCGGCGGTGGCGGCGGCGCCTAAGAAAGGCCCTGCTCATGCTCAGGCCAAACCGGCGGCTTCGGCAGCCCCACAGAATAAGCCTGCTACTCTTCCATCCAAGCCTCTTCCCCCTGCTCAGGCTGGTGAGCTTCTTCGTTTTTCGTTTAAATCTCTGGGTTTGATTGTGAAGTTTTATCTGTTTATCGCTTTCGTTTGATTGATTTTACATTTCCTGATATTGGTTGGTGTTTCGTTCTGGCTGTTTGTCTATTTACTGTGAACTTCGCAACAGTTAGGGGTGATGACTGTTTAATTCAGTGGTATATTAAAATTACTTTACCTGCAAAAGATTTATGGTATAGTTGTATTATGTATGCACACTTCCGAAGGCCCTGGAGTTCTAGTTTGTTTTAAGTTCAGGTAATACTCAGTAATTTGTGGTGTAGCTACCATGATTGGAACACTAATGAAATGAAAGTATCAATACAGTTTTTCAAAGAAATCTGAACAAACTTGTTTGCTTAATTTCTCTTTAAATGGTTTGTGATTTTTTTTTCCTTTTATAAATTTTATTCTTCTTGTTATGTTATGTTGTTTTTGTCCATGGTGACTTTAAAGAATTTGAATTTATTGATAATTATTTACAAGTTAAACTTTACCCAGTACTGGTTCTTGATTTGGGTTGTTCTGTGTTATGATATGGAACTTGGGAGTCTGCAATTAATTTCTTTGCTTTTTTATGATTTTGTCATCCTGTTAGATTATAATTTATCAACCTCTACTATTTCTATCCATTTGGTTTTTATGACCTTTTCCCAGTTGGTATAAATTATCTATTGAGTAATTGAGATAATCTTTTCCTGACTTTGAGTAGTAAGGGAAGCAAGGAGTGAAAACAGTCGCGGAGGTCGTGGAAGTGGGCGTGGTGGAGGAGGACGTGGATATGGTCGAGGCCGTGACACTGGTGGCTTCAATCGTGACTATGCCAATAATGAGAACTCATTTAGTAGCGCCCCTGAAGATGGAGATGCTGGAAAGACAACTGAAAGGCGTGGATATGTTGCTCCTCGTGGACGTGGTGGTCGTCGTGGTGGCTTCAACAATGGAGACGCTACTGATGGGGAACGACCTCGTAGAGCATTTGAACGCCACAGTGGAACCGGCCGTGGGTATGTGCACTTAAAAATAATTCATTTTACATATTCCTGCTGTACTACTATGTTTTGATTCCTTCAACCTGATTTTACGACTAGAAATGAGTTCAAACGCGAAGGGGCTGGGCGTGGAAATTGGGGAAGGTCAACAGACGAATTTTCTGAGTAAGTACATGAATACCTAGTCACCTTCTACCTTCATGGATGTCTTTTTTTGTTAAGTGCATGCATGTGTGAACCCCCTCAATGCCTCCAATTTGATGGTTAGTTAAGCCTCTCACCATGAGAAAGATGCACTCAAGCATCCAACCTAACCTACACAAAGGGCTTTGGCTCAAAAGCCGGCCACTCTGTGGGGGTTGGGGGGTGGGAGGAAATTTTTATGCATGTGTCAGTTCTCTCATACGCTAAGAAGGTTATTTTTCTCTTATCAACAATTATTTGTATATTGATATTATTGTTCTAAATCAGAGTACCGGAGGAAGCTGTTAATGAAACTGAAAAAAGCACAGGTGACGAGAAGCCTGTTCAAGAGGATGATGCTGCAGGTGTCAACACAGAGAACCCAGCTAAGGAATTGGAGGAAACAGAGCCAGAAGACAAGGTTAGTAGTTTCTTCAGTTTTTCTGGAACAATTTCGTTAAATCTGGAGCCTACCGTCTCACTTGTCCTTGATATTCTTGTGATTTAAAAGAAATTTTCGTTTTTGCTTGATTAGAAAATTTAGTAGGGTTTTATTACTTTGTCTTCAGTATCATACGTTTGATGCATGTTTGAGTTGTAAATTTGACTGCATCATAGCTTGATGGTCTGTGAACTTCTTGTACTTGATTTTGAATCTACTATTTGCTTTTTTTTAACCTGATGCAGGAAATGACTCTGGAGGAGTATCAAAAGTTGCTGGAGGAGAAAAGGAAGTCCCTTATGGCGCTAAAAACTACTGAGGAAAGGAAGGTGGATGCTAAAGAATTTGCATCCATGCAACAACTTTCAAGCAAAAAGGAGAACAACGACATTTTTATTAAATTGGTACACCTACCTAATCCTCTTTCACAGTTTAAATTATCTGTTGATCTGATGACCTTTGCCTCTTGGTATTACATCAAATGTAGACCTGACTTGGCCGATTTGTTTTCATTTGTTCCACTTGTAGGGTTCTGATAAGGATAAGCGAAAAGAAATTACAGACAAGGAGGAGAGAGCTAAGAAGGTATTACCTCATATTCTTAAACGGTTTATTTCCCATTTGATTGTTTACTCAGGATTGATGTCTAGTAACTTTTTAAAAGGTGCATGGCTGTGTCTAAATATATTACACCTAGTATTTTAATATTCATGTAAAAATATTAATTATACTTGAAAATTAATAACAACAAAAGGGAAAATCTCAATTGTGTCAATCAGTGTACATCAATGTGTAACTTCCTTGAGTTAATAATCTAGGCTCATCCTCAAAATGGAGAAACAAACTGGAAAACTTTTTAGATTGAACAAATGAGTGAATGGTTAGAAAAACCAAGATAGACAAAGGATTAGTAAAGGAGATTTTAAAATTATCCAAAAGAGAGGACATTCTTACAAAATGCATAATATAAAAAAAATACGATAACCTTGCCACCGCAGAGAAGATGGAAAAGCAACGACTTGTAGACCCTTACCGGCCTCCTTTTTCTTAAAAAATTCCTAAGATGACAATAAATAAAGATAAGAGAATAAAATTGTAAACGTGAAAAAGAAAAATAATAGGAGACACCTCTTAGCTTTGTCGCCTCCCACCACCACACTTTTTTCTTCTCCAGATGAGACAAACTTAGGGCTGTCTTTTAGTATGCGTGTGCCACCTCTTTCTTTTCTGTAGGCATAAGTAGAAATAAGTAGTGAGATTTTTGCTTAAAATAATGCGCCAGCCTGTGTGTTAAACCTTCAAGGACTTTTAAATTTGTCTTCTCAGTACTACTCATAACATTAAAGACAAACCCACCACCAGCCACCAGCCACCAGCCCACAATTTAAATCCTCTGTATAGTTCTCAATTGTTCAGTGAGGCATACGCCTTAAATGCCTCAAAGGCATACGCCTTCTTTTCAATGTAGGCACGTAAGCCTTGAGACACTTCACCATTGCCTTGCCTTGAGGTATGCCTCAACCAATTTTGAAAACATGGATGTCTAAGCTTGGACAAAGTGCTTCATGAGGATGCTTTTAAATTGGATCTATTTGGAACCTACATTAAGAAATTCAATTGAGTTTTCTTATTGAATCACTTTTGGGATTCATTTTGAACTAGAAGAAATGAAGGGATTGGCATTTTGGTTCTTAATCAAGTATTCCATTGTAACTTAAATTATGTGTTGAGTGAATATAATAATATTTTTAAGTAATAGCCCCTAGGCGTTGGCAAATATTTGGGGTCTCTTGGTCATACTAACTTAGAGGTCTTTAGTTCGAACCTTTTGGTGAGTTTAATACCAAAAACTCTTGATGTCTCCCGAGTCCGGGCCTTGGGTCGCTCTTGGGTATTGGGGAGCAAAACTCTGACTTCCAATTATCAAAAAAAAAAAAATGTAATAATATTTAAAGTAATATAATTGAGGAAATTAAGTATATTAAAATCTATTTTCTACGAGTATACATGAAAAAATATAAAAATTCTACTTTTCCTGTCATGTCACAATCTACTGCAACTTAGAATTGTTCGCTGCACATTGCTGGAAGTGGTAGAAAATAGAAAATGGCTTTTAGAATGCTTTGGCCGTTCGAATTTTAGTGCTAGACTTTATGCAAATGGGCCATATGGGTTTTTTTCAGATTGAAATTCTGAACCTTTGGAAATAGACCTGATAACAAGGTTAAAGTTACCTGATATTTTTGTTATTTGCTTTGCGTTTTAGTCCTTGAGTATCAACGAGTTCTTGAGGCCTGCCGAAGGAGAGAGACAGTACGCTCTAGGTGGTCGGGGTAGGGGTCGTGGCCGTGGTTCAAGGGGAGGTTACAGTGGCAGCTCGATGAGCAATGTTGCAGCCCCATCCATCGAGGACCCGGGTCAGTTCCCGACCTTAGGTGCAAAGTGAATTTCTCAATAAAATTTCCCTTGAAACTGTGTTTCGGGTTTTGGGCGTCTTTGATCTGGGGCAGGAAATTGACTAGAATAATTTAGAGTTCCCCCTGTATCAAAATGATTTTTAAGTTTATTTGTTTAGGTGTAAATTGTCAAAGCCTTGTATTTTTCCTTGTCCATTTTCCATTGTGTGTTCTCTTAACTGTTGTTTCAGACTGTTTGCTAGATCAGACTATTTATTTGACTTTTTTTTTTTTTACCTCATACTGTTTGTTTTCAAATTTGTATTTGTTTTATTGCTCTTTAGTAAAATGGGAGTTGAAATTAGCTGTTGGTGATATACAAGGGAATAAATTCTCTTTCTAATTCGGGGTGGAAGTGGGTCGGTTTCGTCCTTTTTTTTGTTTGGCTAAAATTGAAGTTGAAACAACCTTTCGATTTAAGAAAAGTAATTGATGTTGTAAATTGTAATCACTTTGTACTGATGAAACTCAAGTGTTGAACTAAAATTGATCACTTTTTTTATTGTATAATCAAGGTTTAAAATCATATGTTGAGGTTTTGATTTTGTGAAAATTATAAAAATAAAAATTTATGGAAATTATTTGAATAGTAAATGATGTTTTAATTGGGGTTCAATTAGATAATAATTGGTCACTTTTAATCTTCATTTCTAAATACGAGATATCTAAAAATATAAGTAATATTTATTTAATTGGTTAAGAGATGCATTCTTGTGCGGCAAGAAATCACAAATGAGCTAGAGCAGATGAGCATAGACATCTTTCCCTTCTATGCAAGTAGAGATGTGTCTCTTCATTTGAGTATCATAGAAATCTCAGGCCCGACGATGGATACAACATTATATTCTGTCACAGAAAATTTCTTCTAGAGAAGGGATTAGCATTGTTTTGACAGGGATGAACGGAGGAGGGACGTCTCTTCATTTGAGTATCATAGAGAAATCCCAAGCCCACACTGTATCCTGTCACATAAAATTCATTCTAGAGAAGGGATTAGTATCGTTTTGATAGGGATGAACGAAGGAGGGACGTCTCTTTATTTGAGTATCACAGAGAAATCTCAAACCGGACGATGGATACAGCATTGTATTCTATCATAGAGAAGAGATTAACATTGTACTGGTAGGAAAGAATTGCATCTCTCGAAGAGATGAGATGCATTTGAACAAGGACAAAAATATCTCTCATTTTACTAGGTAGTTCTAAAATATATATTTTTTTTCGAATAACTTTATTTTCCCAGAAAGTCTCAATGATGAAATAAGGCTCAATTTAGCTACTGACATGAAAACATTTATAAAATTTGAGATACCAAAACAAAATTAGAGTAAGTGGAAAAAAAATATTAAATTAAAAATTTAATTCAGTTTTAGTCTAAATTTTTATAGGTCATTTGGTTTAATGTTTATACGAATTCATTTTAATCCTTAACCTTAACGAGTAAACAGATTCATGACATGACATTTTTTAAGATGAATAAGTGTGTAGGTAGGTAAAAAATCTGGGTCGAATCTTAAATCTTTGTTCGAATAATCTTTCTTCCTTCGTATCTATGGTGATTCAAATTATTCGAATGGAGACTACTTTCAACAATTTTATGCAATTATAAAACATCACAATTCATTTACATTAGTTAATTTTAAATAATTAATTGTTTTTAGTTAATTTAATTTTATTGAGTAAAATTATTTTTAAAATAATTTTAAAAACTTAGATTATTTTACGTGGATTTTAATTTAAGTTCATTCATTAAATTTATTATAAATAATATACTTTAAATTTCATGTGGTTGATTTTATTTAACAATCCACCTGAATAATTATCCTAAAACAAAATTATTTAATAAACTTATATAAACTCTTAATTGTAATTAATTAGTATAATAATTGTTGGATGCCTAAATTTGGATTACCTAAATTGCCAAACTCGCATCAATCTAAGAAATAGATGACTTGAAAAACAAGCTAGAATTACACCCGTTATGGTGCTAGCCACACACACTCTGATGCTTAAGTCGGAATTGATGTTTTACGTAAAGTGTAGTAAAGAGTAGAGTTATGTAGCATATCTTTATTATGAGTTTCTTCTTCCTTCTTACAGAGGAGAAATTCTAAGGGTTACTAGGATATCTTTTTCTTATATCTCCCTAATATTTCTTCTTAGATAAGATGTCTTCTTCTTTTTGAACGATTGAGCTTTTCGGACCTTTTTTAAGGCTTTTGGCATTCCTCGTACTTGAACGAGAATCAAACAGATCTGACTAGGAAAATTGTTAGGCTAGTTGGCTGCAGGCTAATCGGCCTCCGCCTAGTGCTGAGCCTGAGCTTTAGAACGCTTGTGGCGTGGCCTTATCACCACTCGAAGCTGGTCGGCTCCGCTCGACTAGTTGGCTTGGCTGGTCAACTGAGCGTCTAGGCGTCGAGCCCAAGTGTTAGGGCGCTCAGGGTGTGGCTTTGTTGACACTCGCAGCTGGTTGGTTTGGCTGGTTGGCTGAGCGCCAAAGTGCCATCCTTAGCACTCTAACGACAATGCTATTTTTTGGGTCAGCTACAGATATCTTCGAGTCTTTGGTTATGGTCCATTGGTTGTCTTTGGCTCTCGAGTATTGATCCATGATTCATTTGTCTTACTTTACTTCGTCCATAAAAGTGGTTCTCACTCTCAAAGTAGAAGATAAAAATATCGGGCTTCTACATTGAGAATATTTGTTGTTTTGATTATCTCGAAAGAGCGTATCACTTGTGGCTTGGGCTTGGGTTGTCTGATCAACTCGGGTGGTTAGCTCGGCTTGGGTGGTTGGCTAAGCTTGATTGGTCGGCTCGGCCTATATATATATATGTTTTTAACTTCATCACTCTATTCGTCGTTTGATCTAATTAAGTCTTATGGGTTTACTTATGACTTGGCTCTTCGCCTACTTTCACTTTTAATACCCTTTAAAGTTCCTTAATTGGCATGATTGCTTTTAATCAAGTCTCTTAGGATTTATTAAGTAGCTGAGTTTATTCGCTCGCTTTTAGTTTTATTATTCTTGGGTCTTAACCGTCTGAGCTCATTCACTTGCCTTTAGTTTTAATACCATAGAGTTTTATCATCCGAGTTGGCTCGTTTGCCTACTTCCAATTTTCATATCATTGGTTTACTAATTGGCTCAGCTTATTTGTTTTCTTTCGATTTTAACACTCATTCGAGTTTCTTGATTAGTCTTGTTGAACTATTGCTAATTACTTGGCCACCAGTTAAAAAGGAGGTTTTTAGAGATGTTATATAAAAAAACACTACTTAAGTATGCAGAAAATGAAGAAAATAATTTATTTAAATAAAAAGAAAGTCAAATGAAAACATCGTGAAAAATGCAAATCTAACATGTATAAAACTTAAGATTGTAAAAAAGAAAAGTGAACTTCCAACTCATAAGTTTAGTTTTGTTGCCTTCAAGGCGATGTAGTAACATTCTCGGGATATTCATTGTTCTTTTCTAATCTCTCCTACCCTATATTTTATGTATAGCATTGTAGGATGAGGTGTAATTCACGACAAGGAACTCGACCATTCTCATTGTGTTTTTTTATCCTTCTCCAAATGTTATAGGGAGTTCTATACTTCCTTCATTGACTACCCGTTCTCCTCCAAACCCAACAACCGGTGTATGTCTACTTTTCAACTTGCTTTCACCCAAACCCATGACACTGTATGCAGTTAAGGAGAGTACGTTTGTCAAGCTTTCTCCTTCTACTAGAACTTGCTGAACCTTGATATTTGCTATTTTAAAGCAATTACCAAAGCATCATTATAGGTATGGTTTAAGTTAGCCATTTCACTTTTTGAAAACTCAATTTTTGGGGTTGGGTTGGCCACACGTGCATTGTAGATTTCATGAATTTATGGAATTGTCTTGGTTTCCCTAGCGTATGCTTTCCTTTTTCTTATGGATTCTCCCCCATAGGCCCTCCAAATATCTTCTTTATTTCCTTGGGAGGGGATTGATGTGATCATGATGAATTCCAAGCTCCAAGACTCAACCTACTCCAACAAAGAAGAAGAACTAGAAGAAATACCCTCAAAGAGAAGAAGACTTCATTGGACCCATCAACAAATTTTGTCCATCTTGAAGGTCAATGAACATCCAACAAGGGTCAAGAGGAAACGAGAAGTAGAGGAAAGGCCAAGTGAATGGCCACATCTCAAAGACATGCCCATCGCAAGGCAAAGGTCATGCCCTAAGCGCAAGGACACGCCAAGCGTGCACGCCCCACACCGCGTATGCTAGCACGCCCAGTAGCCAGGCGCATGCCCTGCCCCATGCTTTCACCTGCAAGGCGCTAACCTCGAAATGCCCCCTGTTGACACCAACGCCCGCGCGCCCCTGCCTTACCCTATCGCGCTAACCTCATAGCACGCCCCCTATTGTCAGCGCCTGCGCACACCCCTGCCTCACTCGCGACCGCGAGTCCCTGCCATGCCAACCTCGCAAGAGACTAACACCTCCCTAGCGCACACGCCTGCCTGGTTATCGTCGGTGCCAGCCCTCATGCCCCGCCTGTGCGCACGCTTGCCCATCGCCAGCGCTAGCCCCTCGCTCGGCTGCCTGCCCTCGCCAGTGCCCACGCCCCATGCGCACGTGTTGAACGATTTTGTGTCCCTTATGTGCAAGTATACACCATCATCGTAGCAAGTAATAAAATGTTCGAATCCACAGGGACTACTCACTAAACACTTCAATAATGGCTCAAGAAAGCTAATATTTAAACGACATATTTGGGACAACAGAAACAAAAAGGGCAATAAAAGAATTAAATGCTACGGTGTTCACTGAATGCAATTAATCTGAACTTAGATCAACTTCCCTTAATATGAAGAGTGAAATATGCAATCAAAAGGTTAACTGCTGACTTTTAAAAAGGTAAGGGGGAAAGTTTAATGTGACCTTTTATGGGCTAAACAAACGATGTTATGACATTAACAATGTTGAGATATTGGCCAAACAGAGATGAAGTCTTCCCAGACATCCCAGATTTTCTGCTATTAGGGTTTTTAGACAAACTCAATAGCATATAGTAACAATTTAAAACCGTGTTAGGTGAGCCCTATTCCTAAGTATCCACTATTTAACTTAAGCATATTCTAGCATGAATTGAAGTTTATCACTCCTTATTACAATTTTCCAAGAGTTAATAAGGAGATATTGCAATAATGGTGATCAAGCATGCTGAAAACAAACTTTGAAAACAACCTCA